CTTTATAACAAATAAATGAGTTTTATTAGAAACCTTCCTTCGCGTTTCTTTTCAAAATATTGCAACAAGGATAAGCCTCGATTCATCTCCTCCAAACCAAGGTAATTAGTCCCAGAGCCAAACATGGGATTAATAAATGCCCTGACAGTTCTGTAGGATAGAATGATGGTACACTAGTATAAATAATTTGCAATCACTAGGTAAGCAAATAGCTTGCCTATCAACTGAATCTGATGTGTTACTTAATACAGATAGTCCTTGACTTACGATCACAATTGAGCCCAAAATTTCTCTTGCTAGGTGAGACAGTTTTTAAGTGAGTTTTGCCCCCATTTTATGGCCTTTCTTGCCACAGTTGTTAAGTGAGTCATTGCACTTGTTAAGTTAGTAACACAGTTATTAAATGAATCTGACTTCCCCATTGACTTTGCTTGTCAGGTCACAAAAGGTGATCACATGACCTTGAGACACTGCAACAGTTATAAATGTAAACCAGTTGCCAGATGTCCGAATTTTGATCGCATAACCATGATGCTGCAAAGGATGTGTGAAAAACTGTAATACCTCACTTTTACATTGCTGTTGTAACTTTGAAATAGTCACTAAATGAACTGTTATAAGTTAAGGATTACCTGTAGCCCAGATTCCCTGGAGACATTCCATTGAGCAACATATAGTTCTTAACCTAGGCATGTATGTACAGGAAAATCCATTAAAGGTAGTAATGTTGTGTCTTTGACCTACATTGCAGATGTGAATGTAGAGTCTTTGATCTCGTCCCTTTTACGCATTGTTTGTTTTCCAATGTACAGTCCCCAGTCAAAAAAAGTAATGAAATTCCCCACCTTTCTTAAGCAAATTTGGGGAAGATGTTTCCTATTGGAAACTGGATAGTAAGCTGCTATCCTAAAATAAATGATATAATTGCACTCTTCTTGGCTTGTTTAGCATTAGGCAATATGAATCATAGGCAATATAGGGTTAAGTTCTATGTGGTCCAAGAAAATTGCACATGCCTTCCACCTGAAAGATTAGTAATGTTTCCAAAACAAAGGATCATTTTATATTTTACAGTAAATATAAAATCTGTGCATGTCATTTTCCATCAGGTAACATTTCATTTCTCATAATAGGAAAAAAAAATCTGTTCAGTGATTTGTCTATGATTCCCATCTCTCTTGAAATGTGTCATTTAGGTTGTTAGTAACAAATTAAGATTCAGTTCATTGGGTTAATTGAATATTACTTGCAAAAGTAATATAGAGGTAACAGGGATCAATTCTGTTCTATTACCTGCCTATATAATATGTGTGTGTGCCTTATCTAAAACCAAGATTTCTTATTTTCCTCTTTATGCATATATTTATGTTCATATTTATACTATTGAAATAAATGGTGGTAATAACCAGAAAATATATTTATTTTCTGTGTTTTGAAAAATAATTAGTTTAATTACAAGCGTGCATAGAGGCAAGGGAGATTTTGGGATTCCATTCTGATTGCAACAGTTTATAGATAGTATTTGGCAAGAAAAATAGTTTTAGGATCTAAGTGAATAAAAATATAGGACGTCATGCAGGGTAGAGAGCCAATGTAAAGATTGCACCTGATTAGTGGAGAGATGGATTATTTTAGCAACTGAACTCTAAACAAAGGTGAGGGGTCTGAGACAGACAACATACAATCAGAAATAAGTTTGCATTCAAATCAGGTGATGTAACAAGTAGAAGGCTGCAAATTACAGATGTCAACTCAAGTTATTTTCCTTGTTATGTTTATTGGTCTCTCTCTCTCACGGATCGAATTAGGGATTATCTGAAAAGATGACCAGAAAATGTCAACAGAAAATCATTCCTGCTATTTTTCATATGTGTTCTGCAAAGAATACATATGGAACAAGAAATGGCACAGAGTCTTACAAAAGATGCAGGATGAACTATCACTGGTATTAATTAAATGGCAGAATCATTATCTTTTGTGTGTGTTTTTTTTAATATAACTGTATTTGACATGTTTGTTTTCATATTTTTTTCACTGTATGCCACCCAGATTTCTTGTGAAATGAGCAGCCATATGCAATTGATGAATAAATCAATAATTGAAATAGCAATAGCACTTAGACTTATATACCACTTTATAGTGCCTTACAGCCCTCCCTAAGTGATTTACAGAGTCAGCATATTGCCCCCAACAATCTGGGTCCTCATTTGACTGACCTCAGAAGGATGGAAGGCTGAATCAATCTTGAGCAGTGAGAACTGATACTCATTTTAATCAGTGGGAAAAATATATTGTATGTGGTAAACTGCAATGGCTCCCAAACATTTCGTTCAAATTGACTTTTATATCTTAATCAAATAGGACATGAACCAGGAGTCCACATATGATGTCACCGTAAACAGCATACTCTACAAAGGATAGCCCCCTAAACAGCTTACTGTATAGCCAAAAATTCACAAAACATTTATGAAACTAAAACTTATGAGACAAAGCAAAATCTTTGAAGATTATATAATATGAATGTGAAAACTATGAGGGACTTCTTATTCCCCTGCCTATGTTCTCTCCCCCCACACACACACACTTCTCTCTCTCTCTTTCAAAAACAAGGTAGGCAAAGCATGCAGAATGCAGCTTCTGCTTTTCCAACACTTTAATAACACAATAGGAGCCCTTTGAATCAGGTGACCAGAAAGGAGGGAAGAAGAAGTTTTGAATGGAGAAGTTGACTATATTCTGAGATGCTGACCAAGTTTGTCTCTTGCAAAAATACATTGAGGGAATTTTTCTGTTGAGTTTTTTTTCCCCAACTGGGACCTCTGGCCCATTTCTGAATTTCTCCCATATTATCTGCCCAACTGGTTTGATCTGGTAGGGTTGGCAAGATCCAGATTCCATCAATTAAACAATGCCACCTATTGGGACCCCAGAAATGCACATTCTCTGTAACAGCACCTGCCTTCTGGAATTAGGTTCCCTCCAAAATCCAGACAATTCTCACCCTGTTGCTATTTTAAAGATGTGGGTCTTTGCACAGGCCTATAGAAAATATGATTGATGCCCCCTTCTCTCTTTCTGTCTCTCTGCCTTCCCCGTCTTTTTTTCTTGTGTTTTGTTCGAATATTTGTTTTGTTTTTTTATATTACTCTTTCTTTGTAGAAGTTTTAATGAGTCATTAGGAGCCAGGTGCCATATAAATTTAATTTATCCATTCATTCATATTTATAAATATCCATCTCACAAAATGTGATTCTGGGTGGTACACAGTATTTTAAAAAAATTAAAAATCAACACTTAAAAATTAATACAATGTTTTAAAAAGGCAAGGAGAGCAACAGATACAAGAATGGCACCACCTCAACTACCCACCATTCCCTTGAGAACCTGCAATCCTGATTCATAGCCAAGTTCTGAGGGATTTGCAAAAAGTTAGCAGCAATTGAGCCAGCTTGACCTTGAGACGGGGGGTGGGGGGAGTGGTGTTCCATTAGGTGCATGCCATGACAGAAAATGCCTGCCTTTAGGTTCCCACCAGATAGGGCTCTTTACCAGACAGACCCTACAACATATCTCTTCTTCCAGATCTGATGGGATGGACAAATGTAATGGGAAGAAGTGTTCCCTCAAATAACCTACCACCATGCCATAAAAGATTTTAAAAGCCAAGCCAGCACCTTGAATTGGACCTGGAAGCAGACTGCCATCAAATGTGGCTTGTGGAATAGAACGGGGGTGAAATCCAGCAGGTTCTGACAGGTTCTGGAGAACCGGTAGCAGAAATTTCGAGTAGTTCAAAGACCGGCAAATACCACCTCTGGCTGGCCCAGAGTGGGGTGGGAATGGAGATTTTGCAGTATCCTTCTCCTGCCATGCCCACCAAGCCACACCACGCCCACAGAACCAGTAGTAAAAAAAATTGAATTTCATCACTGGAGTAGTGTAATGTGTACCATTCTAGAGATATACAAAACTGCTTGCACTGTGTTCTGCACTGTGTTCTGTACCAGCTGAAGCTTCCAGATACTTTCCACTTCTCCCCGCACAGCAAATTTTGAAGCCATTCTGTTCTTGGAGAGTTATTGCACTCACAGTGTCCAAGCCATTTTACATAATGTCTTTCAGACATTCTGTTGGGGAGGGTGCGATAAAAACTGACTTTCAGTACAGAAAATCAATGTACAAATTCTTGCAGATTGAAAATTGGACTAAAGGCAAAAAATGCAGTGGCAACTGGTAGCTTGCAAGTCAACAGTAATCAGATTTTAAAAAGCATACAATACCTCTGCATCTGAAAGACTTCAGAGTGCCTGCCTTGTGCTTACTTCAAAAATGCTTTAGATATGGTGCTGAACTGTTTGCCGTGTTTCTATTAAATGGCAAATAGGTTTTGGACAATGCCGCTATTATATTCTTCATATACCCAAATGCCTTCAGCATAAATCAAGTCTCAATCATGTTCACAATACTTGATAAAAACTGTTTGGTGGGACACCTTTTTGCTAATGTCCCCAAGTAGGTTATTAGAAGTGAGGAAGCTCAGAGCACCAAGGATTTCACAGTTCAACCCTGAGCTACATATATTCTCTTCTGTTGAAAGTCATTCTGTTTGGCAACGTATAGAATATGTGTTTGCCCAAGATAACGGTCATGAAGAAAAGTTAGAAGAACCCAGGAGAGTGTTATGGGGCACATGAAATTTGTGAATAGTCAATTGTCCACGTGGGAATTAATTCAAATTGGAAGATTAGGGCCAAGTCCTCTTCCTCTACCCAGGAATGAGTGTGTCTGAAAGAACTATTTTTTAATAGAAAGTTCTGTTTTCCATTTCCAGCACTCTATTCTTTTGTGACTATCCCTCAGCCTAATAGACACAGGAATCATATAGTTGCTCTGTTTCAAGGGATTCCTAAAAGTGCATTGCTTGACAGGTAAAGACTTACTCGACTATGGTAACATCTTCCATTATTTGTTATTCTGGATGCAAGAGATCAGCCGATAGATTTTCTGTGATCAAATGTTTTATTTTATTTGAACATTCCTTGGCAGCGCTGGATTTATGCTTTTAAAATCTAGCAAGATATTAAATGTATTTTGCATACTCTGTTTTACAATTTTGCATATTTAAAAAAATAATGTTAAAATTCATCCTTCTGCAGTGTGACAATCAATAAAATAACATTTATTGTTCATTACTACTGGTTTTAGCAGCTGATGCATAATTTTCAGACATGAATCTTTTGAACATACCTGGAAATTATTCAGATTTTTCTGTTAGAAAAACTTAAAAGTGGCAGTCTTAGTATTATCTGAATTTTAAATTTGCCACCAAGGCTTTCTTTCTTTCATACTTACATGGAGCAGTCACCATTTACAATGTTGTGTCTATTTCAGGTAAAATTAGTGAAATCTGATTTACTAGCCCCCTTCACCAAAGACGTATTTGATTTTTTAAAAATTTAAATTCTTTGGAAACTATATTGCACTAGCTTGTATGAACTGTTTGTATATAAAAGCTTATTTTCATCATGAGAGATTCTAAGGTTGTGACAGAGATCCATACCAGATTCATTATCCTCATAACAGGAAATACTCCACATGTACATATCGTGATTCATGTAAAGCAAGCCCAGTTTCAATAAATAAGAGAAAGGGGACACTTCAGTAGCATCCTCTGGGCGCTGTCCTCTGCATTACAGAAACCCTACTTGCCCCTACTCGATTTTAAGGAAGATGTTCATTGTTACGGTTAGCTTCCATTCAGGAGAATGTTGAAATAAATATTTGGATAAAATGCCTACTCCTGGCAGAAAACACAGACTAGTACAAATGCTAACACTTATCATGACAAGTATGACACAGAAAATAAGAGAAACCAGGTTTAAGATGAATCATCACCATTGTAATGTATTGTATGGGCTGATTTTAATTTTTCCAGGAAAATCTTTTAAAATCATCCTGGGCCTAGACTAGTTTATCAGTGAAATTTAAGTTAAAAAAAATTAAAAGCAACTTTCTGCTTTTTTAAAAAAATCTTTATTTCACTGGCTCTCTAACCTGCCCTTTTCTTCTCTCTCTCTCCAGACTTCTGTTTAAATCAGCTAGGCAGGATGATTAATAATCCATGTCTACAATCTGCCTCCTCCAGATATGCCAACCTGTCTTTTGTTCTCCACTTCCTAGGCAGCCTAAGCTACTGTTCAATCCTAAGAACATATGAATGATTTTGGAAATGTCTAACCGTATCAGATGAAATGTCTAAGAACCTTTCTGCCTCTCCCCACTCCCTGAAAGAAACTCCAAAGGAAGAAAGGAGTCCTTACCATGGCTGCATGGCTACAATGCATGCATTTTTCATAAAAGAGAGCCAAACCCTTGCAAACAAACTTTGCTTAAGTTGTAGCACAGGCAACAATACCAAGCTGATAATGGGCTCGAAAGAAGTAATGTGGTAATACTGGCACTGCTTATCAATCTCCAGCCTTTCAGTCAAGGTTTTGAAGGTTGAAAGTGTCCTTCAAAGACTTCATCACCAGTCGCATTCTCATATGCAGGAGGTGGAGTGAGGGGCTCTAGGCGTTCCAGACGCTCTTCGCTTCCTTTGAGTTCATGAGTATCTGAGACAAAGCGTTTCAGTCTTGGTAGGAACAGTCGGAGGCGCAACCTCGAGTGCAGATCTGTTTCGGAGGCTCGCCGTGCACCTGGCTCCACTGAGACACTGAATGTCTCCACCACAGTCTCTCCATGGGCAGTAGGCTCAATAACCACACTATAGGGAGGGGGTTCTCCTTGGGCTATTCCAGGACTAGATGTAATGGTCCAAATTGTGGGCGCTGAATCTGACAAGTAGCCAGTAGCCACCACTTCCTCATATGTTGGTGCTTCATAGGTTGCGTTGTCTCTGTATTAAAAAAAAAATGGGAGGAAAGTTCAAAATAACTGCTTCCTTGGGTCCATGAGGAACAGTTACCTATTTTTTTTAATGCGATGCAAGATTCTAAATCATTTCAAGCAAGTGGGTTTATTGTGTCTAATTTCTACTTAATACCCATAATTGCATTCTATATCCCATTTGATTATTACTCTGCAAGAATGCAAAAATCTTCTCCTTTTCTGTAAATTATGCTATACATTTCAACTTCAGAACTATCACTGATATAAATAAGCACTGACAGTAATCTAGTATTCTTCCGGTAGATTGTCATCTCTTTCATGCACTATTGGGCATGTGATGCAATGATGATTATTAATGTTATTTCCATACAATGATAAGCCTAGAGCAGTTCCCAAGAAAATCTTAAATGAAGAAGAAAATAATTAAACCAACCATTTTTAAATGCAATAAAAACAATTAACAAGTTTCACTTTTTTTTAAAAAAAGGAATAAACTGAGCAACTTAAAAGGCAATCTGGTAGTGGAACAAATTGTTATATTCCAAATTCCTGGGTTAACAGACATGTCTCTGATAGATTGAATGTGGTCACCCAACTCATGAATGGCGACTTTAAGTGGCTTACATATGGACAAAAGCATAACAACAAAATGCTTAGACACACTGTAGTAGGGCATAACTGAGACCATGTCACAGCTTAGTGTAATCCAAAACCATTACAAAAGAGTTTATCCCACATACTGGCCCAAACCCCAGGGGTGGGGTGGGTGGAGAATGGGTTGTTTTAAACCTTATGGAAAGCCACCACAGCAGAAACCACCCAAATCTCAGAGACTATATTGTTCCAAAAAGTAAGCACTGTAACAGAAACCATGCTTTCTGGTTCCAGTAGGTGACATTGTTTTCTATGGAAGGGACCTGAAGCACACCTACTTTGCTGGATAGTCATTTAAAACACAGCCCTGGGGTCTACTTGCATTCCCCTTGGAAGAGTTCCCTGATTTAAGCTGCTACAACTGAGAAATCCCTAATTCTGGCTACCACACAGCTTCCCCAGAAGATCATAGAACATCAGATGAACATTACTAAAAAAAAGATAATGTTTTGAGCAATGGTCAAAAGAGTTTTGCCCCATTTTACAACCTTTCTTGCCACAGTTGTTAAGTAAATCACTGCGACTGTTAAGTTAGTAAACAACTGTTGTTAAGTGAATCCAGCTTCCCCATTGACTTTGCTTGTCAGAAGGTTGCAAAAGGTTATCCCCTAGGACACTGCAACCGTCATAAGTATGAGTCAGTTGCCAAGCTTCTACATAGGCAACTGTCATAAGTGTTAATTATGATGGTCATAACTCATTTTTTTCAATGCCATTGTAACTTTGAATGGTCACTAAACAAACTGTCGTAAATCAAGGACTACCTGCAGTGCAATCTTATCACTTTTTAGATGTGCTGGGATTACAGAACAGAATTCTCAGTCAGCTGGTTCTCTATGAAGTTGGGTTAGAATTCTAGGAACTGCATTCTGAATCCATCTGGAGAAAGGCAGGTAGTGGTAATATGAATTAAACTCTCTAGCCCAATCAGAGTAGCTGCCTTGAGTCTGATTTTACTACAGAATGAATGAATAGAAATGCATGCATGCATGTCAGCCCTCAATGGGTATGTGAAGAAACATCATGCTGCAGATACACAAAAGTGAAGAGTTACTGTCTTCATGTCTTGCTTATAGATTTCCCAAAACGCTTGAGCACGCATCACTGGAATTAGGATTCTAAATTAGAAAACTCCTTGGTATCTGCTAGTTTCCCTTAAACTAGTGTCAGAAATGGATGCAAATATCCCATGATTAAGATATGTGGAAATTAGCACAACTAAATGGTCTTACCCATTGTGATTTTGTCTTCTTGGAGCTGCCTGGGCCTCTTCTCCTGCATTCTGATGCTTCAGGCATTGTTCAGCTGCCACACTAATGAGGTAGCCAACCAAACACAAGCCCCCTGCTACAAGAAAGAAAACCCCAATAGGATTGATTTCAGAGGAGATGGCCAGCATGGTTATGCCAATGAGAAGGGTGGCTGAGAAGAGCACCAGCAAGGTATGGCGGAGACCCCTCCAGCGTGACTCTGACAACATGGCAAAACAAGTGGGAGTAACAGTTGTTGACAGGACAAGGTAGAGCAGCTGGTAGTATGAATGCCTGTGAAAGAGATGAAACATAGTGCACAAAATAACACATGCCTGTTTATTCATAGGACAGAAAATATTCATGAAATGAAATGCTAGCACCTGATGATGTGAAGAACATATAGTATGTACAGACAAAGTGCTATAGAAGCATATAGGTAGTCCTTGATTTCCAATCACAATTGAGCCCAGAATTTTGGTGGTAAGTTGTTGCGGTCATAAGTCGAGTCACCACATGATCGGACAATTTTACAACCATTTTTACAATGGCTGTTAAGAGAATCATGTGGTCATTAAGCAAATCACATGGTCGTAAGTCCAAGTTCGGTTTATTCAATGTGCGGGGTTTTTTGCCAGAAAAAAAAAAACAAAAAGCACCATAAAATGTGATCACTTGATTGTGGGAAGCTGCAACCAATTGTAAATGGGAGCTGGTTGCCAAGCACCCAAAATGCAATCACATAACTGTGAGAATGGTGCAGTAGTCATAACTTTGAAGACAGTAACTTTAAATAACTTTTTTTAACTCCATCATAACTTTGAATGGTTTTTAAGCAAATAGTCGTAAGTCAAAAATACCTGTATGGCAGGTTGACAAGACATACAGATTCAAGTAATGTAAGCTAGACTATGAAAGCTCTTGAACTTAGCTACCATATTTCTGAAAAAATGATAATATCATTAGTCTGCAGTCTCCAACAGTTGAAATGGCATTCACCGAAACAGAGCAATATGCATGACTCAGCGCATTTCGAAATATTAAGCAGTCAAGGAGGGTGTTAGGCACAACTGTTCGCAGTACTTCTCATTTGTAAACACTTAACAATCCCTACTTAGTATAAATAGGAATAAATTCAACAATGCATATATTCAGGTAAAAGTCAATGGTTACTGAGCTCTGCCTGGGAGGCGTAATCTTTTAAGTAGTACGGAAAGGATCCAGTAATGTCAAGGATTTTTTAGAATAACAGAAAAACAGGGGGATAGACTCAAGGGTAGAGGAAGAAGGAAGAGGGAAAAAAATAGGTAGGTAGAATTGTTCTTTGCTAAAACCTAAGTTGGCCATGAAGAAGTACAGAAATATAATTATCCTGGCTATGAAAGGAAAAAGCAAAACAAGAGAAAATAGGTTTTTATTCTTATAGCAAGGACAAAATATAATAAAATGTAATAGAACAAAAGACACAAGAATATAACATTTCCAGCCCACTTAACCACTCAAACCCTAAAATATAGTCATGCATGCTTGGTTGACTAGCCTTCCTTAGAGTACTTGCTCACAGCAAAGACCAAGTATGAAAGACTTAGAGAAGGATACAGATGACTTGCAAATGGTTTTTATACACCTGGAAACACTCTGTGTCCTTGAAAAGTCACATTCTTCAGCTAGGTTGGGATGGGAGGAGGTTTGTATATATGTGCCTTCAACTCACTAAGGACTTCTGGGGACTGCCTGGACTATAGTACTCCCTAAAGGTTAATTTTTTTAAAAAAAAAATTTCATATACAACTCAAAAGGTAAACATACCTAATACTCCTTCCCCCTCTTATTTTTCCCACAACAGCAAACCTGTGAGGTGAGTTAGGCTAAGAGAGAGAGAGTGGTCCAACTGGTTTATCATGCTTAACGCTGGGCTAGCAGTCCCAGTCTCTTGGCTTCTAGGCCAGCATCTTAACTACTACGCCAAATTGGTTGTCCTGCTAAGATTTTCAGAAGTGGTTTGTTCTTGCCATCTTCCTAGAGTTGAGGCAGCAAGAGAAACAGGCCCAAAGTCATTTACCCAATGTGGTGTCTAAGGCTGGACTAGCACGCAATGTCTCCCTGTTTCCAGCCTTATGCTTTTAACTGTCTCTCAACTTCAGCTGGTTCAAAAAAAAATTATCACAGTAGCTCTGAACATAGGGTTATGTAGATAAAGATCTGGGAGCTAGTTGAAAATGTTGTGATGTAGAAATTCTGTGGTGATCTAAGACAGTGATTACAGTAGTTAGTCTGCTCTTTATTTGCTTTCAGCATTTGCAGCTTGTATACTTGTAAATAAGATGCCAATGGGACCCACTTATGTGTATTCGCTTACACCAGAGGTCTTCAAACTTGGCAGCTTTAAGACTTGTGGACTTGAACTCCCAGATTCTCCAGCCAGCTATGCTATCTGGAGAATTCTGGGAGTTTAAGTCCACAAGTCTTAAAGCTGCCAAGTTTGAAGACCTCTGGCTTACACTCTAGAGTTTGATTAACCTAAAGTTCTCACCTGGAAAGTGTGAATGCTCAGGGAAAAAGAAAGTGTGTAACATTAAGTCAAGAAAAGTATGATTTCAGCCAAAATGAAAACAGAAACCATCAATCAGAGCATCGCATTAGAACAGAGGTCTTCATTAGGGTTAGGGTTAGGCTCTGCATTAGAAGATGAATTACATAAATCAGGAGGCTGTGGAGGATGAAGAAAGACCCTGACTCAGAAAGAACCTTACTCAGTACCTGCTGAGTCAAAAAGTTGCCATAGATTCTGTTTGTGAATCATTTAATCATTTATGCAAGAAATATAATTGTAGCATGATTTATTTCAAAATGTAGTCTAGAATAGACTAAGTGATGATGAATGTTTACTCAGATAGTTTGAGGATAAAAATGAATAGCTTGGTAACCTAATTTATTTTATTCTATTATTTTATTTACAGCCTGCTTTTATTGTTTTTACAAATAACTCAAGGAGTTATTTGTAAAATATCCAACATATTTCCCTCCTCCTATTCTCCCGACAACAACAACAACCCTGTGAGGTGAGTTGGGCTGAGAGAGTGACTGCCATAAAGTCAACTAGTCAGTTTTTATAAGAAAAGGCAGGATTAGAACTTACATTCTCTCCTGCTTTCTAGTCTGGTGCCTTAATAAAAAAAAAATATTTATATAAAGTGTTGATATATAAGACTGGGCAGCAGAATTCAACATATATTGGGCTCATCTTGTGATTATAAGACATATGGAAGAATGCAATTTCGAACTTAATAGTATAATTGATAGAACATGAATTCATGAATGAAATGAGCCTTGGTAGTACAGTGGTCTAAAGCACCCTGTTATTAAGACCAGCTGCCTGCAGGTTCGAATCTCGTCAGGCTCAAGGTTGACTCAGCCTTCCATCCTTTCTAAGGTAGTTAAATTGAGGACCCAGTTGTGGGGCAATAAGCTGACTTTGTATAAATATACAAAATGATGAAGGCTATTGCTTAGCGCATTGTAAGCCGCCCTGAGTCTCCGGAGAAGGGCGGCATATAAATCAAATTTTTTTAAAAAAATGCCAGAAATAAAAGCAAATATCTTGGGGGGTCTGCAAAGCTAAGAGAATGGGGAAGAATATGATAGATTTGACAAAAGCGGGTTGGATCTTATGAAACTGATTAATACATGCAAATAAGTGACTGCAATGCTCACATTTTTCACAGAATAAAAGAACAGAATAACAGAATTGGAAGGGACCTTGGAAGTCTTCTAGTCCAATCCCCTGCTCTAGTAGGAAACCCTATACCATTTCTGACAAACGGTTGTCTAATCCTTTCTTTAAAACTTCCAATGTTGGAGCATTTACAATTTCTGGAGGCAAGTTGTTCCACTGATTAATTGTTCTAACTGTCAGGAAATTTCTTCTTAGTTCTAAATTGCTTCTCTCCTTGATTAGTTTCCACCCATTGCTTCTTGTTCTGCCTTCAAGTGCTTTGGGGAATAGCTTGACTCCCTCTTCTTTGTGGAAACCCACAAAGCATTTTATTTAGGATTTTTTTATTTTAAAAATAGTATTATACAAGTTATTCCTACATTAAACAGGCCCTTTATATTTTCCATATATCCTAAATGACTCATTTAATTTTATATAAAACAGATACAATCCTGATAGTTCCAATAAAATGTTTGTTCTCTCTCTCTCTCACACACACACACACACACACAAACATTTCATCAAACACATTCTCGAGCAGATCTATTGACCAATTCTTATCAAACCAGTTTTTGAGTAAGAGATTATCCAAATATTTCCATTAGTGGAAGATGATTAACTTTACTGCAGTTAGACAATAATATTCTTGCTTCATAACTTTTTACTCCTTCCATCAAATACAGAAGGTCTAAACTTGGTAAGAATAAACTCTTTGTTTATAAGTTTCATTTGGTTAAACACTTCCCTTCAAAATGTTGAAAGATAATAAAGTTCTCATCAGAGATGGTAGAACATTCCTTTTTTATTACAACCTTAGTGAGTAGTTATGCAGTGTGTGTATAAAGTGTAAGGAAGATTACCATGATGGAAATATGCAAGAACTTTACTTAGGTAAAAGGAGTTGAAGTATTTTAAGAATCCAGAACTATGAGGTATAGTTACCTATTTATATGATCGTTCCTATCACCCATCTCCTCCCACTTATGACTGTATGACCGTAACCTTGTTGCTGGTATCCTTAAGATTTATATTGACTGTTTCCCTATGACTATCATTAAGTGTTGTACCTTATGATTCATGATGAATGTATCTTTTCTTTCATGTACTCCGAGAGCTCATGCACCAAGACAAATTCCTTGTGTGTCCAATCACACTTGGCCAATAAAGAATTCTATTCTATTCTATTCTATTCTATTCTATTCTATTCTATTCTATTCTATCCTATCCTATCCTATCCTATCCTATCCTATCCTATCCTATCCTATCCTATCCTATTTCTACTGTATTTTCAATGCAGCTAAATACATTTCTGAATACTATTCCTTTGAATTACATGAAATAGTTGATCAACACTGAAATTGTCTTGCCATTTGAGGCAGTCCACACAAGAAGCACCAATCATAAATACTAATGCTACCATTATTGTAAGAATGCAGTAACCGAATCTTGCAAGCCTGAAAGTCCCTTTCCCTTTCTTTAGTTTACTGTATCAAAAACTAGGGAGGGCCCTTTCTGAGATGCTTTCTCCACCTCCACCCCTCCTTCAGACTCAGATTTAGTTTCTCAGACTGCCGCTCTT